ACAGCCCCTCGTTTGTTGTCCTCTTCTCTCTCTCTGCCTACGGTTTACCGGGCAGTTCTATTTGTGACGATATATATATATATATATATATATATAGGTCACCAGCCCGTACGTACGGAGGTCCCCGGGAAGACCTCCGTACATACGGGCTTTCGGGGTCCCGTACTGGGTCCGAACCCGACAGCGTTCGGCCCCCGCCAAAAATTATTTTGGGGCCTAAAAATAATAATTGTTTTCTGAATTTTGTTTTGTGAGTTCTCTATGGCATGAGGTACATGCCTGTAAATTTTGAAGTCATTTGGCTAAGCCAAATAAGAATTAAAAAATCGCCAAAGATGGCGGTGTCAAAACGTGCTCGCCCACATATTTTTTCACTTTTTACTTTTTGTTTTCACTTTAGTTCGGGGTCTAAACAATTTTATGATTTTTTGAAACTTTTTCAGTGGGTTTTGTGTTATGTGAAGTACACATCTGTACATTTTCAGGGCATTAGGCCTTGCCGAAAAAAAAAAGAAAAATCGCCAAACATGGCGGTGTCGAAAACATGCTCGCGCACTCATTACATTTAATTCTTTTTTTTTTTAATTTATTTTTATTATTAGTATTTGTTTTCCGTATTTTATCTTTATTTCAAATTTTGTAAGGAATTCGGATGTAATACTCAGGCAAATCTTGTTTAACCTATTTTTCTCCATAACATATCGTTTTTTGAGGTTTTTTTTTTTTTTTTTTTTTTTTTGAGGTTCGTGTTTGGCCCAAACGGCCGAACGCATCCCCAAGAGGTCCCATACGTTCGGGCGTTCGGGTTCGGGCGTTCCGCCGTCCTGAACGCTGGTTACCCTGTATATGGGTGAGTGATAGTCTACTTTGATTTTGATTAAGGTAGATTATCATTTACAGTGTAATCAGTGAGGGAATTTTACAGACTGTTGAGGGTTCAGCCTCTTGATGAGTCGGTGAAACTCCGACGAAACAGTTTGTCACAGCCCCTCGTTTGTTGTCCTCTTCTCTCTCTCTGCCTACAGTTTACCGGGAAGTTCTGTTTGTGACGATATATATATATTCATATTCCTTATCAAGCAGAAATATCATGGACAAGAATTTAATTAAAAAAAAAATCTCTTATTATCTTCAAATTAATTTGAGAAAAAAAATATATACATATATATATATATATCATCACAAACAGAATATATATATATATATAAATATATATATATATTTGTTGTCCTCTTCTCTCTCTCTGGCAGTTCTGTTCGTGACGATATATATATATATATATATATCCCCGTGTCTCTGTGGTACCAAGTGCCATCGCAACTCGAGGATAACTGCAGCCACTCTTGGTCACATAGGATAGCAGCAGCTATCCTACAACAACAGTGAGAGGACAACAGGTTAACGCTTTGCTGCGGATAGACTTTTTTGTATGAAATGCCTCAGTGACCTTTGGGGTTTTATTGTTTTTTTTTTTGAAAATTTTGGACCATTTCTCGATTTAACAGCGATTTCGTCAAAACGGACATCTTATATTTTTTGAACGAAATTTAAATTGTCATTTCCGTGGTGATTTAGGGTCAAAAATGCATTTGAATTTGGGGTATAGGTATACATGCAAGGGTAAGGGGTAAGGGGTAAGGGGTAAGGGGTTTAGGGTTTGGGGGTAAGGGATAAGGGGTAAAAGAAAGGGGTAAGGGGCAGGGACCTGGAGCAATGTTTGTCATCTTGTATAGACTGTTTCCGTGACAAACAATTTAATGTTACCCACATCAATCCGCATGTAATCACAATATGCAGCAACAAGTACATACTACTCACGAGCCACTGTGTCCAAAGCCATTCGATGACGTATTGCGGGTATGTCATCAGCGGTGAAAGAGAAAGGCGGAAGGTGACCCCTTGCCAATAGCGATGCGTATGCGAGCATGAAGACCCCGCACGAGCTAGTGTCACGTTGTTTCGGGACGCCCTCTATGGTCCATATGTGATTAAATGGTTTCGTGTCCACCTCTTTGCCTTGCTGAATCGATCTTTCAAACAAAAACTTTGCAAATCTGCCGGTCACTTTGGCTGCCAATTGTTTGTCGCGGCTGAGGGAGTCATAAAATTCGAATTTCCTCCTCCTGAAGTTTGCCACAACGAGGGTCCAGTAGTTCGTGTGTGCGATATGGAAAGGGGCAATTATCAAATCCATGTCACTTATTATGATGTCATTCGACCAGTGCTGCACCTCTCGCTGTTCATGTCTCATTTCGCTGTCGAAAAGTCTAGCGAAGAAAAACGAGCAAAGCACTGATATTCTAGGAATGCGACCCGTTCCGATTCTAATCACGGTTTTGTTCTCGGCGTCGCATTCTACGTGTGTGATTCTACACCAGTTGTCTAGTGCGATGAGGTTCAGGTAGAAGTTGACGACGTTGTCATTTAACCAGTTCCGCTCGTCGACTAGTAAAAAAAATTCGTCTCGCGTTAGCTTCAATAATTCGTTCGTCCTGTGATTGTGTGTGCTCGCTATTGGGAACCTTTTCCCGTACTCCCGGCATACATGTGAGAGTGCTTTCATCTCCTTCTCTGATAAAGATGATGTTGTGAGGCGCATTGTCCACCCTCTTTTGCACTTTCTTGTATCTGTTGTTGTAATTTGCACTGCACATGACCACCATGACGAATACGACATCGACGGGCGGTGTAAACAACGTTGACCGAGGCGGACAGGGGTGTAAAAAATGGTCGTCCTTACAGGAAAGTAAGAAACGGTGGCCGAGGCGGTGTAAAAAACGGGGAGGGAATGGAGTTGAGATACTTGTACATGGACAACTGCCTTAGCATAACATGAGCAACGGAAATGCTGTATTCAAGATACGTCATCAATGTTTCGCTAATCTTACACTTAGATGGACGACATTGATGTTCGCGACCAATCAATCTAGACACCTGCCCCCTTTCATCACCGTACCCCAACGACATACATGCATATACGCAACGCTGCATATCGACGAATATAGAGAGATACACACACACTTGTTCACCACACAATTTTTTTGTCAACAATTAAAAGGCCAAATCCCAAAAATTAAAAACTAATGAGTCTTCATGTCGATTGTATACAGGAACAAATTCCACCCACAAACCTAGATTTCAAACAAATGAGCACACACACGAAAACATTAAATTTCCCCGCGAAGAGGATTCCCCTCAAATTCATTCCCTATCGCACCCCTCATTTTCTGCACGTGTGGGATCGCTCAGGCCCTTTCCGCCTTCTACCCCGTCCTCATCGTCCGTCGTCATGTCCTCAGTATTGCGAGAATGTGGAGACCCCCCTGCATTCCCCCCATTCCCGTAATCCCCTGTGGCCCCTCCCTATGGTGGTGTTGTACAGTGTGCGTCACCTTTGCTAGTGCATGTGGGCGGATGCAACGACATCCCCGTGACGCCCATCCCAGCAGTGGACTCTCACTCTATCTCCGATGTGCCTGCCAGCGCCGCACCTGTCCCGAGGAGACTCCCGTATGTGGCGCCCGCATCCGCCGGCTTGTCGAGTGACACTCGTTCACCTTGAGATGTATCCCCCGTTGCGACAGAGATGACTCTGATGGTGTTTTTGCCTGCGGGCATGTTACCCGCCTCTGGCAACGGAGGTTTCACGCCCAACGTCGTCCCGCCATCTTCCCTTTGTTCACCCATCGTGTTCCCTGTGGCCACCTCGGGCACAGGGGCGACATCTTCTCGGGAGTCCACGTCCATGCTCTCGAGCGCGGCGGCGCGCTCGACCTTCCAATCAATCTTGCCGTACGAGGGGCTCGGCTGCAGCTCGTAAGACTTGTGTGAGTACTCTAACTGTCGAGTGGCTCCCAAGGCGTCGAACAATTGTTTCGCCTTTGCTGCGATGGATGTTTCACCCTCCTTGGAGTTCTCTTTCCGATAGCGGTACAGTATTGATTGCTCCGTCGTCTTCAGCCAACTGTCCTTTCCCATGCGGAAAAACGGTTTCCAGCCCTTCGAGATATACTTCACCGCCATTTTCCACTCCCCGCCTTGGATACATGACTCGAAAATGCTGTCATGCCAAATGATATCATGGCCCCACTTGTCCTCACTAGTGCAGGCGTATTTGTCATCCAAGAAATACACTGTGTTTGGGTTCGCACAAAATCTGGGAGGAATCGGATCGCCCGGCGCCAGCTTCGTTGGCTGAGCAAGAATATCAAGGTCATCGTCTTAGTCGTCTTCCACAGGCGTACACAGAACCTGGTCCACACCCGAGGCCACACTGTTCGCAGGTGGCAGGTCCGAGCATCCCTCTGATTGACCCGGTCCATATCCCTTGACGACGTGCTCCATGGCAGCGGACTGCCCACACCACCCGGTCGCATTGGTGTCATTTTCGATCTCGAGGTCGGAGTCCGACGAGTCTTCCTCGCTGTCGACGGGGTTAAAGCCTTCACCCGATTTAGCGAGGTCTGCATAGTCTTTAAACGTCAGTTTATCTTTGTGAAGATCAAACCTCAAGATCTCGCATCGAGCAACGAATGTCTCAAAGGCGCCAGTTAGAGTACCGTGATAATGTTTGAGGGTCTCGGTCACCTTGGCTTTCCTATATATGTATCCCCCATCAAGGCGTCCATCCGGCGCATCGCGGAACAGGTATTCCCACACCTTCAGTCTCTTCGGTCCCAACTTGTGGTACATATCCCTGTTTGTGCAATGTGTGGCACGCGGCTTCTCGAGACGGCACTCGAATCTCCCATCCTTGATAAGTATGTCGATGAACTTTGTCAAGCATGCAATGTCCTTGGCCGACTCATCACAGGCAATGACATTATTACCTGCAAGCAAGAACTTCCATACAAGACCCGCGTGCGCCCTACCCAGCAAAAGCACACCTTCCGCCTCTCCAACGAATGAACTGCACAACTTCCGCAACTTGCTGGGTTCTCGCTCCCAAATTGAATATGCGGCACTTTCGTCACATTCGACGCCACCGTGTCTTCCGAGACACTTCCCGAACTTTTCCTCCACAGTATGCATTTCGGTGAGATCGTTGTGAAGTCGGGGTGCGACAGTTACGTTTTTCAGATCCCCTCCTTCAGCGTGCAGCATGATGGTCATCAGGTCCCGACTGATCGTAGCGATGTTGCCGTACCTTGTGACGTCGCTCAGCGGCCTGTCCACGCGTTTCCATGACCCGAGGATGATCTCGATGTCCTCCCAACGGTACAATTGACGCAAGACATCACTTTGGACATTTTGCGGTGCAAAGAAGAAGAGGACCCAATTTGGACCACAACACTTCGCCATCATTGCGTACAGTGCATTGAAGTCCAGCGAGGTCCATGGACTGCTGAAATTCGCGGCCGAGATGTCCACGATGGCGGCCCTGCATGCCATTTTTTGTGCGGCGGCGACGATGTCGACGGGCGCCGCCATAACCACCTTTGACCGCATGCATACAGGAAGCAATGTGGTCTGCCTGCCGAGTTAGTCCCATACAATATGGCGTGCACTGGAGGCGATCCGTTTCACCTCTGCTCGAAGCATATTGAGCTTATCAATCGCGATGTATATAAATACCTTGAAGTGAAACGGAGCCTCCTTGTACATCACTTCTGTAAGCCCCAAGCCCGCACCTTGCCTTGCCTCCTCCACTCCTCCAAGTCGCCGAGGGATCGTCTTCACTAAGTTGCTATGCAGCTTCTCCCGTTCCTTCTCCCATTCATTTGCGCATAGCCCGTTTGAGGCATACCTCTCTTCCAGGTCCTTGTACGACATGAAGAAGTCGTCGTTCCACTCATCCTCTGCCGTTCCCTCGGCGCGAAACACGACGTAGTTGAACATGCGGACCATGTATCTCTCCTTGCGCATAATGTCGATGAGGCACTCTGTGTTCACCCTCGGAGGCGTGACTCTCACTTTTGTTGCCACCACTTTCCCCAACATGAGCAGGAGTAGCGCGACTTCTCTCGCGCAGCATGTAATGTCCCCGAAGTTCTTGAAGTACGTAGGACACAAATCCTTCCAGGACTCGGTGGAGCCCTTGGGACCATCTCTCGCATATATGCAGTGGTACAAAGTCCGTTGTCCCTTTCTCTCATCAGTGTACGGGCCGGGCAGGCGCCCCTCCATCCTCCCCGACATCTCAAGTGGGATCTTGCCGACGCCGATTGGCAGCTTACCCTCCTCGAACATCGCGAAGAACTTCTCCACCAGTGGCCAAACCGTGCGGGTGGACGTGGCGAGGTTCAGGTACCCCCGGAGTTTGTTACTCCAATCCTTGCTGTATTCGTTGTCGAGTGCCTGTTTCACAAACGCCTTGTCGCACGCGTTCCCCATGCAGGCCCTCAAGAAGTTCTGTCACTTTTTCTGATGCGCAATGGCGACGGCATCCTTCTAGATGACCTTAGCTTTGGGTGCCCCGATCCTGTTGTTGTCGATCCACCATTGCCTCATATCACACACAGCGTCCTGGAAGGATAACATCATGGCGCTATTCTCCCGTGTGTTGTCGAAGAGGTCGAAGAGGGAGACATTGAAGTACCCGCGTGTGTGGTCATCGTCGAAAAAGACGACTCGCACTTTGGAGTACGCGCGGAGGCCGTAGACTTTGACCGCGGGGGAGTCCTTTGCAACCAACCGTTTCATGGCCTTGGCAGTATGCTGACCGCAGACAGCGTACAAGTCGAACTCTGTAGAGTCTCTTTGGAAGAACTCGTCTGGCGTGATTCGCCTTCCCTGCCCGTCGACGATGACGTCGGGGTCAACCGGTGCAAGAACGAGCTCAGGTCTATCCCACACCCCCGGGTCAGCACTTATGGAGCTTTCTATGGCACTCTCGATGCTTCTCACTATGTTCTCAGACAACGAACGGTGGTTAAAAGGATCCTCCTACGGGGAATGGGTTTGATCCTATTAACGTCGACGTTAACAACATGGACGTCTTGCCTGGCGAAGCCCTGTTCGTCGTATTCAAGGAAGAAACATCGTGTCGTGTCGAGGGGCGCGACGTGCTGAACCAGCTCTTCAATGTCTTCGGGCATGCGAGGCCCCACCCCCTCGCCCCCATCCCCCGAGTCCCGCAGCTCAGGTGCCCTGGACCTCTGCGAGCCTTTCGCCGCCACGACTGCCACTTCGCCTCCCCCCACCAGTTTTCCGAGGAGCCCGCACTTCATGGGATGCCGTCAACGCTCCGCGAGCTTCATTGACGGCGTCGGCCCTCGCCTGTTTTGTTCGACTCGCAGGAGAGGTCGACGCTTCTTCCCTCTTTCTCTTTCCCCGTGAGCCAGGTTCGTCTCTCCCATCCTTCGTCTAGTTAACGGAATGCGACATTCTGCGGGAGGCCGCAAGCTGGCTACCAGCATCGACCGCGTCACCGACACGGCAGGCGTCATCCTCACGGCGCCCCCGCGATTCATTCTGGTGGCGACGCTGAAATTGGGAGGAGTGATTGTCTTCAACTTCCTCACCAACATCGTCTCTCTCCTCGTCCATATCATCGTCCTCACCTTCAGCATCTCCTTCGTTACCGTCGTCCCCCTCACCACCGCCCTCCCCCTCCTCACCACCGCCCTCCCCATCCCAACCACTGCCCTCCCCATCTTGGCCCTCGCATTCCTCGTCATCAAAGGCACCTGCACCTCCCCGGGAACGATGTTGGGAACCAGCCTGATACCTCACAGCTCCGTCGTCGTAGTCTGTGGCCTCGCTGGACTGCTCGGCCTCATCGTGACCTTGCCGATCCGAGGGCGGAACCGGAGCGGGCAGAGCCTGGACAACCGCAGCCGACGAAGACGGGGCAGTCGCAAATTGCTTCCTCTTTCAACCCGCTCTGGCCGGCTGATCCTGGCGCCATTTGGGCCCCGCAGCCGACGAAGACGGGGCGTCAATCGGCACGAAAACACGGTCAACTTGCTGGGCAACAAGTAGCCTCGCGAACTCTTCCCTGTATCGCATAACGAAAGTTGCGAGTTGGTCCGTCGGGCTGTTGAACTAGACCAAAGGCCTGCTGAGCATGAAAGCACTGTCGACGACGGGCAGGGACCCAGTCACGCGGTAACCATTGGTTTTGGAGAGAAACTTTTCCAGATCCAGCATTTGGAACTCCGTTCCGTTCCCGCGCACGTCAAACGCTTTCATCGACAAAGCCTTGACCCCATATCCTTGGAAGAGTCGATGGTCAAGAGACACCTTCTTGTCTTCCTTGACCGAGTTTTTCCCCCTTCTGTCATAGACAGACGTAAGGAAGAAGGTCCTAAACTTCCTGCCATCGTAGGTAAACCTCCCTGCTTCCGATTTCTCCACCCCTCCACAGGAGTACCAACTCAGGCCGTTGTCATCGCTCAAGAAGACAACGGCTCCGCAACCCGGTGTATGAAGGCCTCCGACCCAATCAAGAGCCCATGGTTTGTTGTGGTAGAGCTTAGACATGCCGTATAACCGTTTTTCGGGGGCGGAGCCCGAAGCTGATATTCCTGAAGGGTCGCGCAGAAAAAGACAACAAGAGAACAAAACTAAGTGACATGAAGAAGCATTCATTGCGGCATGGGAGTTCGACGGACCCCTTCGCTTCCGGCCCGCGTAGCGGGTCTGGCGTTCCAAGAACGCCGGACCCCATGGCCATTGTGTGTGCGGGTCTCGCGTCCCCAAAATAGCAGACCCCACCAGCGTGCCTGTCGGCACGGGGTTGGCCGGACCCCTCCCTCGCCCGCATCCCCGAGGGGGTCTGCCGTCCCAGGAACGCCGGACCCCCTCGGCGTTTCATCTCCGTCCCTCCCCCTCCCTCTCACAGCATCGAGGGGGGTCCGGTGTTCCCGGAACCGCGGACACACCTCGGTGCTGCGAGAGAGTAAGGGGACCCGTCCCTCCCCCGCCCTCTCGCAGCACCGAGGGGGGTCCGGCGTTCCCGGAACGCCGAACCCCCCCCCCCCGTCGGTGCCGCGGGAGAGTAAAGGGATCCGTCCCTCGCCCGCCCTCTCGCAGCACCAGGGAGGATCCGGCGTTCCGGGAACGCTGGACCCACCTCTGTGCTGCGAGAGAGTAAGGGGGTCCGTCCCTCCCCCGCCCTCTCGCAGCACTGATGGGGGTCCGGCGTTCCCGGAACGCTGGACACCCCCCCAGTGCCGCGGGAGAGTAAAGGGGTCCGTCTCTTCCCCGCCCTCTCGCAACACCGGGGGGGGGGGGGGGGGGCCCGATGCCGCGGGAGAATAAAGGGGCCCGTCCCTTCCCCTCCATCTTGCAGCACGGGGGGGGGGGGGGGGTCGTCCGGCGTTCCGGGAACGCCGGACCCCCTTCGGTGCTGCAGGGGAGTAAAGGGTTTCGTCCCTCCCCCGCCGTCTCGCAGCACCGAGGGGGGGTCCGGCGTTCCCAGAACGCCGGACCCCCCCCCGGTGCTGCGAGAGGGAGGGGAAGGGACCGACCCCTTTACTATCCCGCGGCACCAGGGGGGGTCTGGCGTTCCGGGAACGCCGGACCCCACCTCGGTGCTGCGAGAGGGCGGGGAAGAGACGGACCCCTTTACTCTCCCGTGGCACCGGGGGGTGTCCGTCTTTCCGGGAACGCCGGACCCCCATCGGTGCTGCGAGAGGGCGGGGGAGGGGCGGACCCCCTTACTCTCTTGGACCCCCTTACTCTCTCGGACCCCCTTACTCTCTCTCACACTACAAACGTGGCATTGACGACCTTTTCCCGAATGGCATTTCGATTTTGCAAGCAACAGAACGAGGCATTGACGACCTTTTCCCGAATGGCATTTCGATTTTGCAAGCAACAGAAACTATGGATTTCGAAAAAAAAAAAGGGGGAGAGGGAGATCAACCCCCCTCCCCTGTGCGATCACACAACACACGTGGCATTCAGGACCTTTTCCCGAATGACATTTCCTAGTTGCAAGCAATACAAACTATGGATTTCAGAAAAAAAAAAGGGGAGAGGGAGATCAACCCCCCTCCCCTATGCGATCACACTACAAACGTGGCATTCACGACCTTTTCCCGAATGGCATTTCGATT